AAATGATAGAATCAACTATGTACCAATAAGGCAGTTTATTCCTAATATACTTACATTTTCAGTACCCGGAGAACCTGGGGTAGACGGACGAAATGGCGAAAATGACAGCACACTGACGCGACACTATTCGGACGCGTGCGCTGTCTGCCCAGCTGGACCACCTGGAATTCGAGGACCACAAGGAGCCGACGGTTGCTTAAAAATTAAAGGCTTTTGAACCTGGACTAGTAACTATAAAGTTCAGGTGAACCTGGCGCTCGAGGTCTTCCTGGCCGACCAGGAATGAGTGGCCGTCCTGGTGTTCCCGGACCCAAAGGTCCTACCGGAGATCCTGGACAACAAGGTACTTCATCTTGGGTAACATTTAGGTTTTTACCGATCTAATTTTCGAAAAATTTAGGACCAGCTGGACCACCTGGACCACCAGGAATCCCTGGAGGATCAGGGGTATCTTATTCACGGGTTCCTGGTCCACCTGGTGCACCAGGAATGGAAGGACCGATGGGACCTATTGGACCACCTGGATATCCTGGAGAACCTGGTGAACCCGGTGATCCGGGACCAATGGGGCTTCCAGGATTAGATGGTGTTCCGGGAGCCCATGGCATATCAGGACTAGTAAGTTCACCAATCAAACTATGAGTATCGATGGTATCTGATTGCAATTCTTTCAGACTGGGCCACGAGGTCCGCGTGGAGATGATGGAGAGTACTGTCCGTGTGTGTCAAAGGATAAACGAAGTAATGCTAACCTGAAACTAATAGCGCACTATGAAAAACTGAATAAATAATTGATTTCAATCAATGGAGTAAAGTCAGTAATTTACACTACAGTACTACTGTAGTACAGTACTACTGTACTGTACTAGGACTAGTACAGTACTACTGTACTAGACCTTTCAGAAATGCGGCCATATTAGGCAATGGGTACCTCTCATAAGTAAAACGTGGGCAGCCATAAGAGCTGCCGGGAACGACAGACAAGCATATTAGGCTATCCGTGCAGTACATACTTAAAGGCATGCCCCAGGATCACATTGGTGTGGCTCTTGCACACGAATGCGAATGTATTGGTGCGAAATGGGCCGGCAGTAAAGAAAAAAGGAAAAGAATCCGTAAAAAACGCTTAGGTTAAGGGCTCACTCACCTTCCTAATCGGCTGTGCTAAGGGAATGAGAGACTAAGCGCGGAGAGGAGAGTATGAGGCGAGAGAGCGCTACAGATGAGAGAGCGCCAGACAACAGCCTGATAAGAGAAAAAAAGTCTGCAGCTTCAGCAGCTTACTTTGCAAGGCCCAAGCGCTCTTGTCGGTTGGTTTCCGTGCACGGAACGCCACATTTGTGATTGTCCTCTAGGGGTCTATACTACAGACCGAAGAGAAGCGTTCACACGACCTCTGCCTGGGTTGTGCCTTTAAGCGTCAAGTACCCTTCTCAACAATTGGACTAGGCGTTGTCAGCTTAATTTGGCTCCTCATAAGACAATGTTTATGAAGATTGGAGCTATACCTGAGGTCGTTCTCTGTTCATATTTACTGAATGGGGTCACAATCTCTCCTGTGAATGTTGTAAGGGATCTTGATTTTACCTACACCAATACCCTTGACTTCTCCATGCACATAATCAATCGATGTAACTTAGCCCTCGTGCGAACGTGCCATATCTTCAAGGGACTGTCCTCGACAAATCAATCTATCCTTCTCCAGGCTTATAAGACATATATCCGCCCCTCGTTGAGGCTGGCGCTACTGTGTTTCATCCCATCAGGAAAAAGGATGCTGAGCAATAGAAAAAGTGCAAAACAACTTCACACGCAAAATTCTACTCCGAAGTAGAAGTTCCTTTATTCTAAGGCTCATATTCGGAACAGATACTTCGAGCTCTCTACTCTTGAATCACGGCGCAAGATATTTGATGTATGCATGGTTTATAAACTTTTGTATCAGTGTTATGAGTTTGGCTCATTCAAATTTTACAAAACTTGGCATTCCCGCACCTGCAGAGGACGATACCAATTAATATTCCTTGCAGGCGCACGAACAAATGTGAAAAGCAAAAAGTCTTCACATCCTCGCGTGGAACTACTAACAGAATATACCAAGAATTTGGTTGTTCTGCGTTCTGTATAAGAATGTTAAGCGGAATAGTGGGCAGTTTATGTAAGCATCTCAATTTCCCAGTCCTCGTAAGATTACCACTCTTTGGTTTCTCCTCGCGATGAGCAACACGGGTGCTGTCCGTAACTTTAGTTGGGCGTGGGAGCACTGCTCCTCCACAGGCTCTCACGTTCTCCCAAGGGGCGTTGCTATTTCATCGCAGGGGCCAGTTTCGAACGTATGTGGCAGAGCGTGTGATCCCCCCCCCCAACTAAGTTAGCACCGAGCACACTTCTTATTCCGTTCTGCGTCATGCAGTTTTGACAAATTTCTACTTGCTATTTGCTAGGTTCGTGTTTGGCTTTTATGTTATTTCTTAAGGTTATTTTTCCTTCTTTTCTTGCGTTTGCCTTAGAAACGTAATAAACATAATATAACAAGTCACTTAGGTTGTAGTAGTATACGCCAAATGCTGTTCATTTACCGGCGTGAAATCAGAAACTGACATTTGTCAGCTACCTTTCTTGTGTTTCGTGTGCTAGCACCTCTCATATGCAAACAAAACACGAAATCCGTGGCAGAAAAGATAGAGAAGAAAGCGTAGGGGATTTCTCGGAAATCTTTCATATGCTGGCTGATTTCGACTGCGCCTGTGGTAAGGTCGGTCTGCAGCTGAACCTAACGAAGACGATGTTTATGAGAAACGGATTGGTTCCTGATGCCCCATTCACGCTCAACGGAACGAACATCTCTGAAGGATCCAGTTACCTAGGTCGGGAAATCAATAATTTCAATAAAACCACCTTATAATTAATCTTAAGGGCGGAAGTGGTGTAGTGGCAAGTGGCACGCTTACCACGCGAGCGGTCCGGGATCAAATCCTGGGTCGTGAGTCGCCCGGGCCAACCAAGCCTTCCATCCCTCCGGGGTCGGTTAATTGGTACCAGACTTGTCTGGGAGGATAAAAAAACACTGACTTGTACATCGGCTGGCCCCCGCAAGTCATTGTATAGGCCACATCGCATTCAAACGCCACTACGAATGTACAAATCTTTATCCTTTATCCTTTAATTTTATTTATGGAGGAAATGTTCTGAACGAGAATAAAGGCTGTTGCCAATGAAAATTGGACTTGCCTATGCTGCAGTCGTGTAAGAAGAGATATGAAAGAGATCTTTAGCAGATAATCTTGTATTTTAGATTTATTCAGAAAAAACACAACCATAAATTACAATTAGTTTACACAAAACTTTGCATTACACTCCTTGCACAAAAGATCCAGCGTATGTAGTCTTATAACCCAAAGTGGGTGTAGTGGACAGGGGGGACGAGTGGGAAGCTACAGAACAGACTATCGAAGGCGATGTGTTGGGTTGGATGAAAACCAAAAACACCAACTTGACAGAGAATAGGCACAATATGTCCCCGGGCTAGAAGAGGAAAGCGTCATGTAAAATACAAAGAAAATTTTCAAAAATAGTCCTTGAGGTGCTACCCTAGTCTTACTTTCCACTATACATAATGAGCTGGGAAAAAGAAAATTCAGTTAACATCCAAAGGATCTAGGAACCCAACTTTGAGACGTAATGCTAGCTTTATCTATCGCAGCTTGAGGATATCTGAATTCTATGAATTCAAGTAACAAAAAGACATCGGCGGAAAAAACAATAGGTAATCGTAATCACAATAATATAAGTAAATTCATATTGAAATCTTAACGAGTCTTCGAAGGTAATCGAAAAAAAAAGCCTGAACGAAAGCTGAGGCGTTCACGAAAAAAATCGTATTCTACATTATCAAAGCAAAAATGCTGCAACATAAAAAACAGATCTAATACACAATGAATCTGTGCAAATGCAATAGTGCCCATACTTGGGATTATAAAAATACTACTAAAACAATTTTCATTTCTAATTCTATCGATCACAATGAGAACTGCTTGAAAGTCGAATGATGAGCAATTCATAAAGATAAGCTTTCATACCTGTACCATCAATATCATCCAAAAATTACTTGACGGACGACTTATTTTATTTCTTCGCCTGTAATAATAGAAATGAAGGTTTCGGTTTCTGTACTGATAATGAGCAAGCACTGTGGAATGTTAAAACGTTTAGAAAAATGAAAGGACTTACAGCTTTTGCCGCGAGAGATGCTTGACGATGTCGTTCTATTAATTTTTTTATTGCTTCGTCGTGCTCTTTCATTAGTTGTTCAACTTTTTCTCGATGTTTCCTTTCTGCACTCATCAAATCCGCTTTAAGTGTTGCTATCTGAAAAGCGTGCATTAAGTAGAAAGTACAGGATTTAGTGAGCAAAATGTTTTAAAGTTTGAGGATGGAATAAAAAACTAGCATTGAGGGGGCTACTCTATCAGGTATCGGAACAGAAGTGAATAAGGAACACATAAGAGACCGTGTAAATATAACAATTTCGATCTCCCTCACATAGCATGCAGTATCACCTCGCTCTCTCTCTGACCAGAAGTCAGTCCATATCTCGCGTCTGATTGGGCGTGTCACCGGCAGTGACGTCACGGCTAAACTGTTTCCAGCAAGCTTTGCTGATATCAGAAGTGTGCTAGAAACAGCTTATGCACACGACTTCTATCAAGTGCGGTGGCTGCCACGTCATTTCCGGTGACACGCCCAATCAGATTTCGAGATATGGGGCCGTATACTGAATGCTGGGGAGGAGATGGGGCCCCGACCCGCGATGCTGAATGTTGGGGACCCCTGAACCCGACCGCCTCTGCGCTCTCTAGCGGGTCCCTCTCCTCTCCAAGGCTTAGTCCTAGGGCATTCTCTAATCGTCTGTGCTCTAGCCATCGCGGCAGGACCATTGAGGAAAAATCAAGTAGTCCGTAAACTATCGCGTTAGGGGACCCCATCCCCCCATTATACGGCCCATGGACTACACCTCTAAATGGCAAAGAGACAATTATGAGACCTTTGAAACAAACCATTTCTTCAATGTCGCTGCCGCGGAGTGCAGCATGTCCATTAGCTCTCAGCGAAATACTGGAAAACCGCACATTCCAGCTTTTCACGCATTTCAAGTGACTTAGCTCAACACCTCCCCTTGAATTGGCTACACTCCCCTGGCTCATGGATTCCTCGTTTTGTACTGAAGGTCGCAAGCATGTCGCGCGCCGCGGCGGCGACTGCCTCTCCAAATACGTTAGCACCAAATGAATATGTCAAAGACACTTCTACTTCTTGGGTAGGAAAGTCAGAAAAAACATCAATATCAGCAAAGGCAACTCCAAGTCCCATTCAGTTAGCGCCATGCTGGTTTGGGAAGATGAAAAAAGGAAAAATAGAAGAAAGGATCTAATGTGAGAGTTACAACGTCTACACACATTCCCCCTGCATACTGGCTATTCATGAATGCTCTTTTCGAACTGCACAGTGCACCTTAATCCCAATATATGTAGAAATAAATATAAGTAGATCACGTTAACTTGAACATTCCTTCATCTTCTCTGTCGAAAAAGGCCAAGAGAGCAGAAATTAGGGCGTATTCACAATCGGTCGTCCGATCGTAACTTCGGTGTGATCGCAACGGTAGCATCAGCCGCGACCGGATAGGAAGGCTACAGTGACTCTAAGCGATAGCCACGATCGGACGACAGACTATGAAGGCGCCCTCACAAAATGGTGAATTCCACAGCTTGCGACGGCACCAAACAGGATGTACGTAAGCCAGGGAATGAAGACAATTCAGAGGTGAGAGGCGACTTTTTCGAGTCTTCAAAAAATCTTAGAGCGAGGTCATTATGGTCAAGTACTGCCTCATAGTTAGGCGAAGGAGAATAATGACGCTTTTAGAGGATCGAATTCAAGTAGCCCGTAGAAGATGATGAATAACCACCTTTTCAATGGCGCAAAAGGATTGCAAAAGGACTGATTTCAAAGACAAACCTTCTTATCCTTCTCCATCATAGCCGCGTCCTTCTGAGCAACGATTGAATTCAGCTTGGAAATTTGGTCACGCAGTTGTTGAACTAACAGTACATTCTCACCAGAGTCAGCAAATGGGTCACGTTTCGCCACCTTCACCGGCTCGGCTTGGGACTTTTCCGCCTTAAATTGAAAAAAAAAACCATATGAACCGAAAATTTCCGAGGAGATAACAGCGACTATGACAAAATTCCAGATGCAGACCTACCTTTTTCTTTTCTTCTCTTTTCCGCTTATGACCACCTGGAGTATCAGAGGAGGATATAGCTACTCCTGCTAAATTTGTTTGTTTGTTCGCACGAGCTTGTATGATGCACATACGGCATAGCGTTGGTTTGGCCTGGAATTAGAAGAAAATCAGAGAAATTACTCCAAAACTGTATTGACCCTTTGACTACGAAAATTTGGCTGAAGTACGCTGGATTAGGCACGGGTGATCCAGGGAACGCGCACGGTATCTGCCACCACACCATGTCCGCTCGAATGAGTATTTCGAAAAAATAAATTGAATTATATTTACAAAGACGTTTCCCACATTTCATCAGTGGAATAAAGCTTATGTACGATTGGGACCTTACTTGAAAAAACTGCATGCTGCACTCTGTAGGGGCACTTCATGTCCCACGGCTGCTCCTGCTCTGAGAACTTTCGTTGACTTCTAGTGCTTCAGAAATTACGTCGTTGAAGGAATCTTCTAATCCCACTTTCGCGCCAAATACTTCGAGCTCTCCACTGGAATCAGCGGCAAAATTTAGACTGTATGCATGTTAAATTCGTATAAGTGTTATGAGTCGGCTCATTCAAATTTTCAAAAACTTGGCTCCCGACCAGGGTGAAAATCGTGTCGAGTACGTGGTCGCAGAGGTACGACCCCCCCCCCCGAAATCGAGATCCTGGCACGACCCCCTCTAACAGAGCAAATTAATTCAATTAAAATAAATCCTGCAAAACAAAAATCAAAAAAAATCAAAACAATCAAAAAAAATTCTGCAAAATAATGCTAAGGACGCTTCATCTTGTCATCTATGCACGTCTCCATCGCTGCATACTTTTGTGTACATACTGAAATATCGACTCGAGGAAAGAGGCATTAACTTTGTGTGACCTCAAGGCGAGGTTCGTTCAGAAACGCACAGAAATCCTGAAGACACGGGGTTGCGATTCAATCTTGATTCTTGCTTGAGTATATCAAAACAGCCGAGTGTATCAAAGGCCGATTCAACGGCAGCTGCGGCGCGATTGTCACTGGGTCAGATTTGCCGAAATTTCAAAAAAAAACGTCCGAATCTACACCCTCGATGAAAAGGTTGCATTCCTCCATTTCACAACCTTTGAAGCAGCTTGAGGTAGAGTTAGATAGAGCTGGATTTCGCGTTTCCAACAAGCATCGAAATTGCTCTGGAAGCCTTCCTTGCAGAAAGATAGGGTCTGTCAAATTTCGTCGAGTAAATGTCGAGGAGGCCGAAATTTTCACGCGAGTTTTGCCACTTCAAGAGCAATATATCTCTTATATTGTAAGATCCTGAAAAAGGGAAGATAGTTTTGGAAAGCGGAAGGTTTGCGCTTCCTGATGGTCTGTTTAGTTTTCTTCTACAGCTTTTTGGTTGAAGAGATAATTGCGTCGAGGATCTATCGAGGACGGATCCGGCCACCTGGAAATCCGCTCCCTCATTCACCATTGCAAGTGTGACTCGTTGGCAACACTCGGAATGTGTCTAGAACAATATCTTTGAACGCAAACAATAAGAATAGGAGCAATCGTCATCATCCGATTTGGTATTGGTATAAGCCATGCATCCCTCCTCCACTCACAGTTGCAGAATCGATTGAAAGGTGTTATATGATGGGGACCTTCGAACGAAACTGTATTGTAGTAGACATAGTGTGTTGTGCTATTCCTGTAACCTAAAAAACAACTTCATTTGCCCAGCGCTTTTTCTTCACGGTTGTCGTTTTTCCGACAGGGTCCCTAACAACAGCGTCATTCTCAGCGAGGTATTAAGGGAGAAGGAGCGAGTGATAGGCGGAGGAGGTGCCTTTGCAGCGCGTGCGCACATGTGGCTCTTCTTTGCGGGGATGCACTTTCATTCTTTGTACTGCCTTCAAATACGCCCTTCTCATGAAGGTGGAGGAATGGAGCGACTGAACCTGCAAAGAAAATTTAATATCATGTTTTTTTCGGATGTTTTCATTTTCTGCTGCGCTATACCCTATTACCTATCTGCACCATGATACCACTTCTGTTACTGACCCCAAGAGTACGACCCCCCATGGACCAGCCCAACAGGTACGACCCCCCTGTCGAGGATTTCCTCGACCGATATTCACCCTGTTCCGAGCCAGAGGAGGATCAATTAAATTATTCCTTGCCAGGCCACGAACAATGGTAACAACAAAGCTTCACTTTGCGCGCTGCGAAGTTTTAATAAATAATAACAAGAATTTGCGTTGTTCCTGTTCTTAAAAATGTTCAAGCGGAATATCGCTGCAGTATTTCTAAGGCAATCAATTTCCAGTTGCTTTTGAGAGAACATTTCTTGTTCGTTTCGTTATGAGCCGGCGGGCAATTGTTGGGGGTCTCTCTCGTTAAGCTTACTCGAAAGGGCAGTTACTATTTCGTCGCCACACTGGCAGTTCGAAGTACGCGTGTTCCCCACCAATAGTTAGTACCGGAGCCACTCTTTCTTATTCTTTCTGTGTAGTAGTTATGACTATTTTTCTTATTTGCTATTGGCTAGGTCAAGTTTGGACTTTTATGTTATTTCTTAGATTGGTTTTTCCTTTCATTTCTAACGTTGCCGTAGAAACTAATAAATAATAGACAAGTCACTTAGGTTTAGTAGTAACGCAATTTGCTGTTCATTCCGGCATGAAATCGAAATCGACATTGTTTGTGTGCTAGCCGCACTCTCATATGCAAACAAAACACAAAATCCGTGGCAGAAAAGATAGACAAGAGCGTAGGGGATTTCTCGGAAATCTTTCATGTGCTGGCTGATTTCGACTGCGCCTCCGGTAAGGTCAGTCTGCAGCCGAACCTAACAGGCGCGTTCATATGAAACGTTGCGTGCCACCAGTTTCGCCGCAACAAAACGAATCTGAAGGATCCAGTTACCTAAGGTCGTGAAACAATAATTTTCAATAAAAACCCACTTCATACTAATCTAAGGGCGGAAGTGGTGTAGTGGCAAGTGGCGCGCTTACCACGCGAGCGGTCCGGGGATCAAATCCTGGGTCGTGAGTCCGGGCCAACCAAGCCTTCCATCCCTCCGGGGTCGGTTAATTGGTACCAGACTTGTCTGGGAGGATAAAAACACTGACTTGTACATCGGCTGGCCCCCGCAAGTCATTGTATAGGCCACATCGCATTCAAACGCCACTACGAATGTACAAATCGTATAACTTCGTATAATGTATGCTATACGAAGTTATTACGAGAATAAAGGCTGTTGCCAATGAAAATTGGACTTGCCTATGCTGCAGTCGTGTAAGAAGAGATTGAAAGAAATCTTTAGCAGATAATCTTGTATTTTAGATTTATTCAGAAAAAACACAACCATAAATTACAATTAGTTTACACAAAACTTTGCATTACACTCCTTGCACAAAAGATCCAGCGTATGTAGTCTTATAACCCAAAGTGGGTGTAGTGGAGAGGGGGGACGAGTGGGAAGCTACAGAACAGACTATCGAAGGCGATGTGTTGGGTTGGATGAAAACCAAAAACACCAACTTGACAGAGAATAGGCACAAAATGTTCCCGGGCTAGAAGAGGAAAGCGTCATGTAAAATACAAAGAAAATTTTCAAAAATAGTCCTTGAGGTGCTACCCTAGTCTTACTTTCCACTATACATAATGAGCTGGGAAAAAAATTCAGTTAACATCCAAAGGATCTGGGAACCCAACTTTGAGACGTAATGCTAGCTTTATCTATCGCAGCTTGAGGATATCTGAATTCTATGAATTCAAGTAACAAAAAGACATCGGCGGAAAAAACAATAGGTAATCGTAATCACAATAATATAAGTAAATTCATATTGAAATCTTAACGAGTCTTCGAAGGTAATCGAAAAAAAAAAGCCTGAACGAAAGCTGAGGCGTTCACGAAAAAAATCGTATTCTACATTATCAAAGCAAAAATGCTGCAACATAAAAAACAGATCTAATACACAATGAATCTGTGCAAATGCAATAGTGCCCATACTTGGGATTATAAAAATACTACTAAAACAATTTTCATTTCTAATTCTATCGATCACAATGAGAACTGCTTGAAAGTCGAATGATGAGCAATTCATAAAGATAAGCTTTCATACCTGTACCAGCAATATCATCCAAGAATTACTTGACGGACGACTTATTTTATTTCTTCGCCTGTAATAATAGAAATGAAGGTTTCGGTTTCTGTACTGATAATGAGCAAGCACTGTGGAATGTTAAAACGTTTAGAAAAATGAAAGACTTACAGCTTTTGCCGCGAGAGATG